ATTTTCCGCTTTTTTTTTTTTTCCAGTCGTGCCCCGTCTTTCCCCATCCTCCCGCAGAATGTTTGTAAAATAGCATTAAAGATTTATGCGGTCCCTTTGGCTGGAGGGAGGAGGCGTGACCACGTCCTGAAAGTGTCCCGATTACAGCCATGACACCAACATCTGTGCTGGGAGGGGAGAAAAGCATCTCTTTCGTAGCCTGAGGCTCAACTGCGGGATCGCTATCCACAGAGGGGAGGCAGGTGGCAAAATGACGGGGGTGGGGGTGTAAAAACAAGGCCTTTCCAACAGGAACCAAATTAAAAAAAAAAAAATCATGCAATCCTTCTTTCCATCCTGTGACAAGAGGGGAAAGCTGGGCGCGGGGAGGGGGGATAAGGTTGTGTTTTCTCAAGGAAAAAGATGACGCGCTTTTATGTTTAGCTGTCTCTATAGATCTGCACCTTATCTCAGCACGTATCTGGACCCCGGCAGTCAGAAGTGCCGGCTCTTGGAGCAAGTCAGACCACAGTTCCTCCCTCCAGCCCCCAGCGCACACCCCGCACACACACCTCGAAGTTCAGCTCTTGTACTTACACGTCTCGGTGCGACAACACTCACCCTCTAGCTGCGGGGGGCAGTGGAAGTAGAACATGGCCCTGCGGCTGGGCGGGCGCCCGCAAAAAAAAGCCGGGGCCGGGGCCAGCCCGCGGGGCGCGGAGCTTCCGCGCACCCCCCACACCGACACACCGGCACCAGCTCCCCAGCCGGGCACCGCCGGGCACCGCCGAGGTGTCTCCTGCCGACCTGAAGACAGAGAGAGAGGGAAAGAACAGAATAGGTGAGTAACCAGAAGAAAGCACCCAGAGAAACCCGTTGATAGTCCGAGATCCCATCCCAGAGGAAGCAGAGAAAGAAGCGCCTGGCGCTCTGTGCAACGAACTGAAAAAGCCAAAGGCAGAAAACTCCGTGGTAGGTGCACAGTAATCAGAACCAGTAAAACTTTGTTGCTTCTCTTTTTCTTTTTTCTTTTTTTTTTTTTTTTTTACCCCCGAATAGCAGATTATCTATCTGTTGTTCGTTCTTTCTTCCTTCCTTTCTTTCTTTCTTTCTTGCTATCTAGCTATCTAGCTATCTGTCTATCTCAGATATTCCCTTCCAGAGCAAATAATTACATAAAGAAAAAAAATGCTTATAGCTAAGAATGAACCGTTTAAAAAAATATCTAAATTATTCTGCCTAAATGAAATGGTAATAAAACCTAAAAGCTGTCTTCTTTTTGAAGCATCCAAGACACGAGGAGCTGTGTTTGGGTTGGAAACCAGTGTCCTCAGCAAGAAAAAAAAAAACAAAAACTATTCAAATTTATATGCAGTCATATAAAAAAATCCAGAAGGCAAATAAAAATAGTAATCCATACCTAAACCGAACAGAAGTAAAAATCACCGGTAAGGTTTGGGGGTATTTTGCACTGGAATAAGGCGCTGCGAGTTGTTGGCTGCAGAGACAGAAGGGCTCTGTGGAGTTCTGGAAGTGGCCAGATGTCTTTATATCTGTCTACAGCATGCTCTGCCTCTCAGCACTTGCCTTTATAATCTCACGCATAATTGGCCTTAATCTGATTATTTCCAGCGCTGTCTACAGTGAGTAACTTGGATAGGTCTATTGGGCCCTACAAATGGCCCACGTGGTGTGCAGAGCAGGGGAAAAAAAGGAGGAAAAAAAAAAAACAAACCACCCAGATGAAAAGAAAAACCCCGTCATTTCGCAGCAAACACCAGGAATGTGAACCGCAGCAACAAAATCCCATTATTTTCTGAGCGCTGGCGCTCCGGGGCTCGGCGTCCCCCGGCGTCCCCCCCACCACACCAAACCGTCTGTAAGCCGGGGGACCGGCCGTGCCGTGCCGTGCCGAGCCGTGCCGTGCCGTGCCGAGCCGAGCCGTGCCGCGCCGGGCGAGCCCTGCCCCGCCGCCTGTACCCCGGCGCTGACAAAGCGCCGGCTAATTGCCGCCGGATGGGTTTTGGGGGGCCGCTCTGCACACGCCTTGCCTTTCCAAGCGATCGTACCGCGGCAAAGTTTGATTTTGTTCACAGCGAGGGGTCCCTGGATTTATGCTCGCTTCCCGTCTGCAAATGATATGCGGCGGGACCCTTTGCAATTACTTTTAAAATGCATCCGAGACATAGGCTCAGCGGAGAGAGATGGCCCTTGCCTCAGCCCGGGTGAAAATTAGACTTTAAAGTACCCAGATGAAATTTTCGAGTCAGGGACGCGGGATTGGATCAAATCACATAAACTGCAAAAAAAGCAAGTATAATGGCGCATAATTGGTTCTGTAATAGCATTACACAAGGATAATAGCCTGTTATGGCCCCCTGCACATTAAGTGCTTCCCTGGCGTAAAGCCTTTATGATATTAAAGGGGGAATATAATGATATTTTGGTTATTAAATGCGTGTAATTAATTTATGCACCACTGAAAATAAAGTTGGTATTATGACCCACTCAAGATGCATCAGAAGATGTAAGTCAGACAACTGTTGATAAGTTCTGGTGTCTATGTTTCGTCTAGACTGCTGATTTTATTTTGGAACAATTGCTTCTCCGGCAGACTACACAAATTTAATATTTTATAAACATTGTAATGTTCTGTGCAGGAAGGGCGAGCAAATCTACACAGGCTCTCTTAGATCTGATGGGAGTTTAAAGAAATAGCACGTTCATACCAGAGCAAAGGAGATGGATGCAGACGATACAGGTGCAGAAATAGAGATTTTGAAGAGACAATATCTTTGGGAAGTTATTCTGCATGTATGATCTCATTAAATAAACACTAATAAGCCTGAGAAATATCATCTGCTCTATCTGCCTTTCACACTAGGCATAGATGTGGAAATTCCCCTAATGTATATTCAAACTGAAGTCATGTTTCAGTCCTGTAAAGCATAATTTCAGCAAAGCAAGGCAAAAATTAATTGTACCCGAGATCCAGATTGATTTGATCTGATCTTATCCACTCATTTATAATTTTAGCATACTAGTGATAGATTTAGAAAGCTGCATTCAAACATGTTTATATACATACGTGTATACACACACACATATATATATTTACATGTATATACATACATAAATGCTTTTAGGGATATCTCTGTTTGGCAACAGATATTGACTTACCATTCAGGCAAGTCTTTGAACAGCAAAGTGTACTATGAATTGAGATGGCTTTTACAGCACCGTGCAAGACGCAAGACCAATGTTCTGAATCCAACTGCACTCCTTAAAATAGCAGCGCAAGCTTTAGGTCAATTAACCTTAAAAAGAAGAACATAACCCAGAGGTGCTGTCTGGATCTCCCCCGCCAGCCTCTCCATCCCGAGCTTTAAAATCCACGCAGGACCAGTACTGCAGGAGCCCTTTGCGCAGAAAGAGATGTGCCTTTTCCTTTTCCTCTGACGTCGCGAAGAGAGTGAGAGCGAGAGAGAGTGTTTTATCATAAGAACCCCTAATAAAATAATAATAACTTCATTACGGCGCTCTCAGGCCTTGCTCTAGTCAGGGGGCTGCATTGCTGTGTTGGCTCCGAGACTCACTCTCCCCAGCAGTTTGAAGCCTGCAAGTTCAGCGTATTGCAGGAGGCGGAGAGGGTGAAATGGAGCACGGGGAAGCGCTCCAAGTCGCTGCTTTTTAAATAGAAGCAGAAGGACCCTGAGCCGGGCGAGGCTGAACTTTCTCCCGGGGAGCAGCAGCTGCAAAACAAGGAGATAACTAAGCAATATATAATCCCCCACCCCTCGCCAGTTCGGTGCCTGTTTAATTTTAATGCACGAAACGTGGGGTTGACATAATTAAAAGTTAGCGCTTCGGAGTCTTGGGTGCCGTTCTCCGGCGGCCGGACCCCGGCGGCGGCGGCAGCGGCGCGTTTCAGCACCACGGAAAGCGC